GTGGCACAGTGAATAATAAATAAGAGGTACATAATTAATGAATTATGTATTAATTAATACAATTACAAAATGTGCACAAGTTTTTATTTGACAAGTTGGATGTAATTAAATGTAACTTAATGTGGTCTTTTTTTACAAAAACAAAAGTATTAAATTAAAAAAAACTACTTTTACATTTTAGAGAGGGTTAATACCATATAAAAAGTAATTAACTGAAAAAATATTTAATAATAATATTAAACAATAACGTTTAGTAATAATATTTATTACCTAAAATTTCTTTATAATAATAATAATAACTTAATAATAATTTAAAATTAGACAATACAATTTAATATTTATATCAGATATATTTTAATATTTTGTAATATTTCACGAAAACGCACTAGTCTTTTTCTATTTTATTTTATAATCCTTCAAGTTTAAACACTTCCTAAACGATCTTTTGGCAATATTCAAGACCCTGTCAGGCACTGTTTCTGCTCATTCGCTATTCACAATTCGCCTTTTTGCAATGAAATATTATTTTATTTACTTTATTTTATTTTAGCTTCTCCGCCGGCTGGTTGCTGGGTGTCTCTGGCAGAGCCAGCAAAATGCAAAATTTATTGCAGAAAACTACAAAACACACACCGAGTGGATGGAAAGTGGGCGGCGGTTGAGTGGTTGGCGGGTATAGTAGGTGGAGGGCGACTGGGGGCGTGGAAAATGTGTTAAGTCTATTGAGTGTATTAAAGCAAATAACTGCGTCGACGAATAAAATACATACGGGACGACGGCAGCGAGGAATCCCAAGCCCAAGGCACTCGGATCAAGAGGGGTGGGGGTGTTGGGCGGGAGGCGTGGCAGATATACTGTATACACATACTCACAACGAGACCCACTGACAGCTGCACCAACTCAGACATATGCAAATATGAATATAAATGAACAACGCGATGAAGTCTGAGATCCAATGACTTAGCAGGCGGTATTTGCAGATAGCGAAAAAGTTGCAGAAAACTTGCTTTTTGAAAATGTGAAATACTAAAATAATATAGAATTAATTAAATTCATTACAAAATATAATGTTTTTCATCAAATAAAAATGTGAATAACTAAAAAAATGTTGAGTTTATTAAAAGAATTAGAATTTTAACAAATTCATTAAATACGTTAGTAGGGGAGAGGTCTGTAGGTTGGTCCACCTTTTGTTTTTAATCTGCCATTTCGACATTCACTTATGAAACTTAACGCATTTGGTACTGATCGAAAGGTTAGTCTATTAGCTTAATAGCTTAGGGAAAGCTGAAAAATTTTTTTTTTTTGAAAAGTCCCAAAAAACGACATTTTGAAAAAGGAGGTCTGTAAGTTGAGACACTTTTTAAAGTCAATAATACTCACACAAAAAGTACTCAAAACTATAAGGAACTATTTATTTATGTTAATTTAATCAATTTTAGTTCGTCCTAAATCATTTCCCATCCAATTTTTAAGAACTTAGACCAAATAACAATTAAAATCAAAAGGCTCTTTGAACATTCACTTTTCCCCTAATATCAAAGAAATGTACTAGGCAGAAAGCGACCTCTGTTGGCCTAAGGCCTTTTTGTATGAAAAACGGGTGTCTCAACTTACACAAAATGGGATGTTTCGGGAAAAAATTAATAACTTTTGTTCTGACTTTCACATTAAGCTGATTCTTTTTTTAATTAGTTAACAGTTAGTATACTAATGTTTTAAATCTCTTACCAAGTTAATTTAAGGACGTTATTAATTTTAAATGGAATTTAGAAAAAAGTAGACAAAAACTTTTTTGGTGAAAAATGGTACACGACTCTCACAGCTTTAATCTGACTAGAGCCTGGCTTATAATGTTTTCCCCAAAAGTTTTGTCACTAAAAAGGACTACAAAAAAAAAATAAAAACAATTTTTTTAGTGGATAAGTTTTGAGAAAATTGAGTGTCTCAACTTACAGACCGTCTCAGCCTACAGACCTCTCCCCTACTCATACCAAAATGTATAATAATATCTCAAGGTAAATTAAATTGATTTTTATTTAATTTTAGTATTTCATTTTTTTTTTTAATTTTGTTTATTGTATTTTAAATGTGTACATTGGAAGTTATTTAAGGCCACCTACAATTCAACAGTAAAACATACTATTCAATTTAACTTCCAATGGAAATCGAACCGAGGCGATATTTGCTGTAATAAAATAATACAAATAAAATACAATACTTAAGGAACATTTTTGTAAATACTAATTTTACAATTTCTCTATATTTATTTTTAATATTTTTTTCTGTGTACTTTGGTACCAAGAAAAGGGGGCCAAGAAAGAGGCGTGTTTGGCGAGGGGTCCCGCTGAAAAGTTTATGGTTGGTAAGTTGAACTTGGGGCCAAAACTGTAATCGACACAAGGCAAACGGAACTACGCCCATAAAGCTCGATCGCAATGCAGAGCCGAGGGGCTGAGGCTGAGGCTCTCGAAACTCCAATCGCATTCAATCAATTATGGCAATTTAACAAATCTGCCAAAAATGGCAAAGCTTTAATGCTCGCAACTAAACCATAAATTATGGTAATTCTAATTAGAGCCCGGTGTAGTTGAAACGCTTCATTAGATGGCAATGCAATCCATTTAATATTCGCATTTAAATTAATTTTAATGTTCATTTCGTTTAATTGATTTGACAAATAGTTGCTCGTGTGCAGGAGCATGGAAGGAAAGGAGCCGAGGACCAAAAAGCAGAGGCTGAAACAGAAACAGAAACGGAAACAGCTCCCAGAAACAGGCAACAGAAACAGAACCAGAACGGAAATAAGCAGCTTTTGACTAACGGCAAAATGGAGGCCATGGAAGCCTATACGTGTGCACGAACTACATGTGTGTTTGTGTGGTAAAAAAGCAAGGCAGGGCAAACAGAAAAGGGGAGAAGAGAGAGAGAGACAGATAGGGGGGCAAAGTGGAGTAACATCTGGCGTTGCCCTGTGCGATTACAAAAACATCAACACTTAATATGTTTATTAAATTTGTTGCTACATCATTAGGCACTAGCAGCCATGTAATGTGAGGCAAACACTTCACATGTGCCCATGTCTCCTTGCCTCTCAGTGTGTGTGTGTGTGTGTAGTGTATGTGTGTGTGTGCTCAGGCTGTGTTTGTGTTGCTGTTACAACTGTACTAAATACCCTATGACCCATAAACCCGACTCGAATAGCTGGAGATAAATATGTTAAATATGCATAAACAAATAAAATACCAAGGAAATACATTTACAACTTTTTGGGCTATGAGAAACTAATTAAAGAAATATTCTTGATTTTCTTCATATAAAAATTCATCCAATAAATAACTAACTATTTTAATTTATAATCTTTTATTTTATTAGCTATTAATTTATAACAATTAAAATACTAAGTAAATATAAACCACTTCTATTGGCTTCCAAAAATATATATATACTTAATCTTGACTTGGTTAAAAATGATTTTAATTCATCTAACTATTAACTAACTATTTTAGTTTCAAATATAATATTTAATTTAATTTATTGCTGAAACACTTTCATTATTTTATACCTACGTATACCCAATTACTGTTTACCTAATTAAACTGAAGGGCCCAATTACATATAGACTTAAGTCCATACCAATGCTAATTTAGTCTTCATTGAGTGATTCCCTAACCAAGTGAATACCAAATCAATTTACTTTACTGATTTACGCTAATGAATTTGGTGTCTGTTTGGTATAGTTTACCCTGTAATCCAATCAATTTGGGGGTTTTTGGACCCCCTAAATTAAGTTTAGCTGTCAAAGCTAATATTATAGGTCGTACTACATATGTAAATCGTATGATAAACATATTATTTTTATGATTTACAAATGATTAAGCAAATAAGTTCTAGATATATTTTGAATAATTATGAATATATTATGAATAGATATCGATCTTTAGAAGTGAGTAAATTTATTTTAAGGAAATGTGTTTGATTTAATCGCCCCATCTTCTGCGGTATTTACTTCAAGGGCATCTGAGGTTCGTGGGTTGTTAGGGACACTGCTTTTGTTGGCTGTGCCAATGCCCTGTACTCACTCACAGATACTCACCCACACAGCGGCGCGTGGCGATGTGTTTGTGCGGTGCTCTGGGCTACTTTGCATGGGCTTAATGATTGTTGTTTAGGTGCAGTTTCAGTTACTGTTGCCGTTGCCGTTACAGTCACAGTTACAGTTACTGTTCCAGCTGCAGTTACAGTCACAGTTGCTCAAACAGAAAAACAGCAAAATAATAAAAAAAGAGTGGGTGGGAGTAAAAGAAGAAGGCGGGTTGAAGCTTTAATAAAAAATTTGCATTGCATACTTTTTGAAAGTGTGGCCTTTTAAGAGTAGAACCCGTTTGTGTTCTCAGCTTTTCTGAATTTGGAGATTTTATAGAGGATAAAAAGTTTTTTTTTTTTTTCTGTTTTGTCAACTTTGAAAAAATATATATTTTTAAATTTTTTAATTATTATTATGTAGTATTATAAATTATAATTTATAATCTACTTCAATTGTTATAGGGTATAGGAGCATTTTATGTGTATTAGATTATTATGTACTTAAAAATCCCAAATTTAAAACAAACTCACGAAAGTGAAAATGGGAAAGCGTCTGCTTGTCTGAATACAAAAACACATATGTACAACGTTTCGGCATATATTCACTTTTATAAATATATATGCTTTACCTGTGCTCCCTTGTTGTGCTTTTCCTCGTTTTTAGTTTTTGCCCCGCGAAAAGTTATGCGCATTATTATAAAAAGAAAAAAAAAGATAAAAAACAAGTCCACCCGCCGCATAAATTTTAATGCTCATGATTATTATTATCATACTAAAATGTAATGTTGCCATCATCGCAAAAAGACTGTGCGAGCATATAGAATATACATTTATATATTTGGGTATCTGTACATTGTAGGGCCACTAGAACTGCATACTCAGGTGATTTCCATTTCCCTTTCATTTCCTTGCAGCTTCTGCCGGCAGTGAGGTAATCACAAATCGCTCGACGCCAACGGACGAATCGCTGACACTACCGCTGACACTACCGCTGACACTACCGCTGACCGGCGACCGCCCACCGAATGTCACCCTGTCGCGCCTCTTTTCCCGCCCCTTCCGGGAGCCGGATGTGGCCGAGGGGGAGGGGGAGGGTGGCGACTGGGGGGAGGCGCAGCTTCCGCAGACCATCTCCCGACCACCGAGAGCGGGACGCAGCGCGCGGCAGGCGGAGGAGGATCAGGTGGACCGCTGCCGGCTGTTCGTCGAGGGGGATCCCACCAAGAACGAGCTGTACAGCCCCGAGTATCCCAATCTCTATCCGAAGAACATCAACTGCACAAGGGTGATAACAGGTGAGTCCTTGGGATTTTATATATTTTATATTAATTTTATAAATATTAACTTGGGAGCATCAAGTCTCTTTGTCCGATTTTATATAATTATATATCTATAAGGTGATAAATTTAACAGATTTGCATTTTAAGATTTAGTCCTAAAAAAATTACTCATACGACGCGTGTGACGGCTAGAATTTAGTCGAAAAAAACGTTCTTTCATAACTACGTTGTAAAATAAGGAAATTCGGTGGTATTAATTGGTTTAAAGAAGAAATAGCTCTTTGATCGGAGGCAACAGGGCGTATGGGTGATAAGCTATGAACTTTGAATTCCCAGACATATCACTTAACCCCTGTTCAGAGCCTTGTTTTATTCATAGGCGCTCTAATTTATTTATCCAGGTACCCAAGGGATCAAAGCCCCAGCCTAATGGCAGGCTGTCGTATTCATGGCAGTCAGTTAGTCAGAAACTCATTCCTGTGGATTATCTACGGCTAAGCAATTAACAATCAGACCGAACAGCAGAAGCCAGCTGTATCGGTGGCATTATCTGTATCTGTAGCTATAGCTGTATCTGTATCTGTATTCCACAGTTGCAAAGACAAATACGAACTTTGATGGAAGCCAATTGGCAGCCGGCTTCCTGTTAGCGAGTGTGGGAGTGAGTGTGCATTGAGAGAAATAATAATAATAATACAAAAAAAACTTAATTTCTTAAAAAATATATAGCATTTTAAAATCTTTATTTGAGGTATTTTGATAAAAAAAATTAAAAATAAATTGTAAATTTAATTAAAAGCATATAATTTATTGTTAAAGCGATTTTAAAATATTTTTTATTTTATTTTTCAGTAAATAATTTAATATTTGAACTCTAAATAATGTTAATATTTTTGAAAAAATGAACAAAAAATTGTAAACATAAAATTTAAAATTTTTAACAATAAATAATATAAAATGGTTAGCTTAATAGAAAAATTCAAAAAAAATTTAAATTTAATTTAAAAAAAATATTATTAGCTTTTAAGTAGATTTTTTTTTTTTGTAAATTTTTATTTTATACGAATACAAACATTCTGTCTTTTGAAATCACACAAGAATGACCCCTGTTTTTCTTTGCCTGTAAGTGGAGTGGAGAGTGCAGGCCTCGTAAAAGTTTATATGGCAAGCACTTGGCGACGAGCGAGCTACTGCAAATAATTGCAAAGTCTTTGGCCAAGTCTTGGCAGCCACTGCTGTTGACATTACCAGATGTCAGTCAGTGAGTCAGTCAGTCATTCGTTCGACTAAGGGGGAAAGCTATAAGGGACAGGAGAAAGGAGAAAAGAGAGGGGAGAAAAGGAGAAAGGGCGGAGTGAACCAGTGAACCGGAGGCATTAGATGGCGCTGATGCGTAAGATGCTCCACACAGATTCCACATGGCAGAAGGCCGTTTTGTGTGGCCCATTTAAAAGCGTTAGCACGTTGGCTCCCCAGTTACCAGCTACCAGTTACCAGTTTTCCATTTCCCCGGGCTCCAACTCCATAATACGATCCCTCGATTGGGGATTGTGTGTGTGTGTGACTCTGGGTTGTCATCATATTTGAGCTGCACTCGCTTCAGTGCCTCCGCCATCACCATCGCCATTGCCGCAGAAACTGGTTGGTTGGTAAACTCTCTCAGTTCAACTCCAATGCTTATCTAAAGTCGCTGGGAGGCCAAATCATTTGTCAGTTAAGACAAAATAATGTCACTGCAAAAGTCAAGAGCTGACAGATAAAACCTGAAAGCGAATGATTGACTTTCCATAAGCACGCATCAGCGGTCCCAGTTTTGGTATCTTTGTATCTGCGAATATGTTGGCATATGTAGCGATATACATATGTGCGCTTACACAGGAAAAAAATTGAGACAATATCATATTTATATGTGCAGGTTAATTGAACATTTTTTAAAGATCAAGTAATTCATATCACTTTGATATGAATAAAGATTATGGTTATCTTGTTTTACAATATTTGTTCAAAAAACACATTTGGGATTTTAAAACACTACATATTTTTATAACTTTTATGAACTGATAAAATATCGAGTTGATATGTTTGCATCATTAATTTGACATTATTGATACGAAATAAGGTAGAAATGACCCCATTTCATATCGACCTTTTTTTTAGTGTAGCATTACGAGTTCGAGTACGAGTTCGGCTTATTTGCATATCAATGTGTGTGCGTAATGTTGGACTAAGCGGGCCAACAAGGGCAGCCAACTGAGGTTCGCTTTATGGCCAAGATGGGCGCCCCGCAGGGCGAACAAATGCCGCAAGGAATTGCGGGCATAAAAGTCTTGCGGTCGGGGAATCGAAAGTTCAAAGTTATTTCACGAAAAACAACAAAGAATCAGAATCAGAATCAAAGTCGGGGTGTATTTTTATACTTTCGAAGGGAGAGAGAGAGCTTATATTCATGCACTTTGCTTTATAACTATAATAAAAGTGCAGAACACTGGGGCGTATACGCAATGCGGGATTACAACTGAGGAAGTAACTCGGTGCACAGAATTTTTTGTAAAATCCCTGGGATTATTCTGGTCCAAAAGAATTTGCTAATTAATACCACATCCAATTAGTGTCGTTTTTGTTCGTTTTGGTTCAGTTTTGAAACTCAATTCTGTCAGTCAGTCAGTCATTTGCCACTGTGGCGTATACGCAACATGATTTTCCCATTGTCAAACTGCAAGATTAAAACACAATGTAACCCAAAACTAATCACCCGAAATGTGGGGGCTTATGATCTCAATTTTCAGGTATGTATGAAAAGCTGAAAGAGCTGAAATTGCCCAAAACTGCTAACCAATGTGTGTAATTATGAGGGGCCCTTCTTTTTCAGTCATGTCATCAATTGGCCAGCAGTAATTAGATTTTTAGCATGGCCCAAACTTGGGAAGGACTGCAAGTGCAGTCCGAGAATTCTCGTTTGCCTGGGGGACTTTGTAATTTGATAACGCTACGAATACACAGAACCATATGCCATCTACGTTTTTTTTCAAGGCCAATCAATGTGGGATTCTATTCCATTTCAAGTTCTCTTCTTCTTCTCCTCCCTCTCCTTCCCCTTTCTCCGCCTGTCTGTGATTCCAACTTTCATTACTTGTCCATCTCCATTATGTAATGTGTGTGAGTGTGAGTGGGTGGTTGTGTGGGTGCTAACGCCCTGGCAATTGCTGCTGTGTGAGTGTGTGAGTGTTGTTATGCCACATTGGCCACAAAGGTTCCATTTGAGAAAAGCCGGGGGAAAATGTATTTTCAAATGCCAGAGCCAGCCCATCGCCATTGATTCATGCCAAGGATTCGCCGGTTGAATATGTATGGCCCGCAATGCGAGTGTGAATGAATGACTGACTAAGTGAATGAATGAATGAATGAACCGAAGTGGGTGTATATGTGTGCGTCCAGCATCTTGATGCCTTCTCCTTTTTATGCGGCCACTAAATGAGTCCCCAGACGCTTTCATTTTGGCCATAGATACGAGATTGGGTCCTGTCTCTTTCACTTTTTTTCCCCCGGAAAGTTGGCCCTACTTTGTGCCAAGGACTCCTCTGGTTATTCTCGGCTCATCGACAGGCGGAAATTTTCACAAATATTTTTATTAGCCAGCCGAATGTTTGCCTAACCAAATTATGGGCCTATTTGAGCGCCTAAAATTCAGTAAAGTCGATAGTAAAGTTAAGGTGTTGTTTGGTGCTAAGAGTAATCCCTGATTATTTAAAAGGAAACCAAAGTTCAAAACTTTCAACCAAAGAAACTTCTTTGCTATGACAGGAAAAATAATAATTAAAAAGAGGCCAGCAAAGGTATAAAAAATATGTAAAAATATACATTTCTTTATTTCGTTTTTATATCTAGTTTTTTAAGGTAATAAAAATATTTAAAAATTTATTTAAAATAGCTGTCTTTTATTTACTTATATTTTTTATTTATCAGACGAGATCATTTCTTAGCTCAAATCTCAAACCCACACTATGAGTAGGTCACTCTAGCTGTTCGTATTTATTTTACGATGTTTAGTATTAATTGATGATGCATAAATAGATGTACGATAGCACCGAGGACTGTTTTTGGATAGCAGATATTTTAAAATATTAATAGAAAATATTCTTTAATATATTATTATTGTTAAGAGTATTCCCGCTTCGGCCGACCGAAGTCCAGCTGGCCATATTATCCCTTCAAAGTCCGAAGCGCTGAGGTAAGCTGTTGTTAATCAGTTTCTCGGCTCGGGGCCATTTGACTTGGAGTAAGCTTGGGAGCTTGCAGGGATCTGGCCACCTGGCCATCCGAATGGAGGTGGAAGTGAAGTCAAGTGCCATGGTTACCATGGTGAATGATGAAATATATATTTGCGGACTAACGTGTTCTTGTTCGCCGCTCCTCTGCCCTGCGGCTGCCGGCATCTAATTACAGCGCCAAAGGGACAAATCATACGCCTGGACTTTCGCAACTCGTTTAATATCGAGGACAAGGAGGAGTGCAAATTTGATTTTCTCGAAGTAAGTACAGGGCTAGCTGACAAATGCACAGAGACAACATTAGTTGGCCAGAAAAATAAATAAATAAATTGATAAATATTTTAATTTACATTTTCTAAAAGTCAAACCTAATATACTATTGCAAATTAACAGTTCAAAAATATTGTAATTTATTTTTTTGTATAATTTTTATTGAAAAACTTGCCAAAAATGTAAGTTAAAATATAAAAAGTAAAAGAGATTATTGGCAATTGTTTTTCAAATATTTAATATTGCCAATTAATAATTGAAATTTTAATAATTATTTTTTATTATGAAAAATCTGAAGTAATAATACTTATGAAGATTATAAGCAATTATTTTGGCGTTCCAGCAATTTAATATTGCTACTGAACGGAATTTATTTTTATATTATATGTTTTTAAATTTTAATTATAAACTTTTAATATACTATTGCCAAATAATAATTTAAAAATTTATTAAAGATTTTCGGAGATTGTAGGCACTTATTTTTACGTTCCAGAAATGTAGTAGGTACTTACATTTTAATTTACTTTATTTAGTATTTATTTATTTATATTCTGTCTGGAACTCGACTTTTTTTCTCTTTGTGCAACAAAAGCCGGCATAACCAACTTAAAAAGGGTCAGCGCATAAAAAAGACAAACTTTGTTGCATGCTGAGGCTGAGGCCAGGGCATAAAAAAAAGGAACGAAACAAAAACTTGCTTAGTTGCTCGGCTTTTCTCGGTCTCTTGGCCGGACTTGCAAAGTTTTCGATTTGTTTCCTTTACGACTTTTCCTTGTTACTTCGGCCTTTGCAGCCACTGCCACAGCCTTTCTTTTTGCACCGAAAAATGGCAAGTTTTAATTGAATGTTGTCTCTGCTGCAGCAAGTCGTAAGCCTGATTTGAATGCAGGCCCCTGGCCAAAGCGGTTTAGGCCAAGACAAACTGCCAACTGAAGCTTAGGGGCTTAGCCAAACTAACGATCGGAATCCCGAAACCCTTCTTGCAGATACGGGACGGCCAGTACGGCTTCTCCCAGCTGCTGGGCAAGTTCTGCGGCACCAACTTCCCGCCGGAGCTCACCTCCAAGGAGCGCTACCTGTGGCTGCACTTCCACTCCGACGAGACCATCGAGTACACCGGCTTCAGTGCGGTCTACGAGTACCTCGATAGGAACAGGGAGGCGGCCAGCACTGATCTCAACTGCACCATCGAGAAGGGCGGCTTCGAGGGGTTCATCAACTCGACAGACGTACCGGCGGAGATCCGGGAGCAGGTCATCCACAGCAAGATCGCCTTGGACTGCATCTGGCGCATCCAGGTGAAGGAGAACTGGAAGGTGAGAGTCGATTTCGTATTTTTAATATTAGAAAAAAAACACTACTTTCCAAAATCATTGCAATATTTTAGAAGCACTTTAAAAATTTGACCTAAATAGTTGGTTATAAATAATTTTCTAATGAACTTAACTAATTATTTTAATAATTTAAAATCTTCATTAATTACCGCTAATAATGAGCAATTCGACTTATATTATTCATTGCTTTTTCTAATTTTAAAAAATGCACTAAATGTTTTGATTTAGTATTATATGTATCCGAGCTATACATCGATGTAAAAACCTACTATTTACTTACATAAATATTTCATTAAATTACATTTTAAAAGTAATTAAGTAAAATAATTTTCCCTTATCATTCTCCTCTCTTTCCCCAGATATATCTCAAGTTTCTGGACTTTAAGCTGAGCAAGCCGAACGATTGCGACACCAACTTTCTTGATATATTCCCCGAACAGACGGTGATGCCGCGCAGGTGAGGACCTTCGATTCGCGGCTTAATCACATTTCGCGTCGAGCGTCCGGAGTGCCGGTGATAAAATTGCTATAGTCATTGCTGTTGAGAAGAGAAGGGCTGCGCGAGTGCAGTCGGTGGCGTATGCGTAATATCGGTGGCGTATACGCAATGCCGCAAACCAATTTCCGCATTGCCGAAAAAGCAGCGAGATCAAAGCCCCGGCCCGTCATGGGCCAAAGCAAATTTTCAATTTATTACCGGCCAAAAGTAAATTGTACGCGAGCGGAAGTGGCGTCGCCTTTGACTCGCACAACCAATCTCCTCGACCTGCGAGGAGTCCCTTTCCCTTTACCCCCCCGATGTAACGAGTATTTCGCCATCTCCTGGTTGACTGACTCAATGACGGACTGACTGAGTGACGAACTGAAGGACTACTCGCCACGGCATCTTCGACACGCATTGACATCCGCTTTTAACGCGCCAATACATTTCCACTTGTTGCCGCTGCTCGGGACAACACTCAAATTGATTGACTGGCGGCGGTCCTTGGAAAATGGCAAATGGAAAGCTGAAAGCTGAAAATTCCTTGCTTCCCCTCCTTTCATTCTTGGCCAATGATTTGATGCCTTTGTCGCTTTCATTTAAATTCATTTTTCATTTTTCGTTACAATTTAACGCACACGACGGGTGGCCAACTGCCTTTGCCTTCCACAACCAGATTTTGCGAGCATAAAATGCGTTGAAATATCGTAAAGAAAATACCCGGAGCCACAGAGACACAGAGAGACCGAAATGAACATAAATACAATATTCAGTGAACGTCATCATTTAAGCCATATTATAAATTATTTATTTATCGATTATGTGAGTGTGTGTTTGTGTGTACCATCGATGGCCAAATATTTAACGAATGGCAGATATATTGCCCCGGGAAAAAGGAGACGTACTCGTACACTCGTTGACTGCAAGTTAAGGCCTTCATTTGTGTGGCAAAATGCTTTGGCAACTGGTAACGGGATTTGCCACAATAGATTATATCAATCACTCGATAATTAATTACCCAGTCAACTGGCCGATGCATATATGATTTTAACAATTTACTTATCGTTGAATAATTTGCTGCTGCATATTTTCTATTTGTATTTATTTAGGCAAATGTTTAACTGTCTCAAGATTATTTGAATCGATTACGATGTCCCTTTGACGCGTTTAATGTAGTTACATTTTATGCCATTTTAATTCTCTAAAGAGCAAAAATATTTGAATGAACAATTATGTTGCTAGCATAAAGAGAGAAAATTTAATGAAATAAATTATTTTTTTTATGTTTTCATTAATACAATAGGTTCTAAATGTGAAAAACTTAAATCTGAACATTTATTAAAAAGCTATGAGAAAATAATGAATTTTCCGATAGATGGCGCCACTTTCAATCGTCTGCTTGCATTTCTCCATCTCTCTCACACTTATTCTTTTGAGTAACGGGTATTGGATAGTCGAGTCGGTCTCTCTTGTTTTAACTATTCGGTTTACAGTCTATTTAATCATCTTTTCCTTTTCAGGGTGAAGAACTTTTGTGGTTCGGCTGGCGAAAGTATTACGGCCGAGTCAAACATCCTGCACTTGCGCTTCTACGCAGATCAAATCGCGATTAACTCGACATTCGGCATTCTGTTCACGGCTTTCCGGGACAAGGGACCTGGTAAGTCCAATTCCTACTCCGGTTCTGATTCCGAAGTTCCAAGTTCCAAGGGCCCCTTTGATGGCGGTGGCAAATCCCTCGAATTGGCAACAAATGGCCGGGGCGCAAAGTACAAAGGCATGGCCAAAATCCTGGGGGCAATCCGGTGCTAAGCTGGCCCCAAATCCCGGCGAGCCATCCCCCTTTTTGGCTGCTCATTTGGCAGTTGGAGAATAGGAATTGAGAATGAGAAGTAGTCGCTTGTCTAACCAACTATCTCGCCACCAGGCCACCATATCCTCCATCTATCTGTCTCTCCGAATGTCTGAATGTCTGAAGGAAAGGCGGCCAGGAGGCGGAGGTCCTGCGTGATTGCCGCCAGTTGCCAGAGGCAAAAGGCTAAGCACTCTTTTGTCATTCAACGATTGTCCTTTGTCCCCGGGCCAGCATTGTTTACTTTTAGGCAGCCAGAGTAGTGGTGGTCCTGGCTCGCCCCCCGAATCTCCAGGACCTTCGACACCAGCTCCTTCTGCTTTCCCAGCATTTCCAGCTCCTTCAGCTTCAGCTTCATCTACTTGAACTGCCAGCATCGGCAATTATTGTTGTTGCTTGAGCGATTTATGTCGGAGATTACGTGCATTTGCTTTGTGGTCTCGCCCATCGTCGCCCTTCAATGACTGCACTGTGGAATGTCCATCAATTTAAAGCTTACAATTGATCGAAGCTTTAAGTCAAATTGAATTGACATTCAATTTAATGTCGAATTGAATTCGGTTCTCCATGGCCAGGAAATTCAATTGCGAGTGGAATAAAACTCTATGGGTGTTAAAACCGAACTCAAAGCTAATCGAAATAGTATACTAAAATTATTCTAAAAAAAAATAATTTTTTTTAACTCGAAATCGAACCTAAAATTTATATACAACTTCATTAAAATCAATTTAGTTTAATTTTAATTTTAGGTAAGATTTTACTTAACAAATGAATTAATTTAAAATCTCTATAATATTTTATCTTAAAAACTTAGTACCTATAAATCTTAAATATAATATAATAAAGTTAGTAATAAGTACATTAGAACCAATTTAATATAATTTATATTGTAGGCAAGATTTTACTTGACAAATGAATTAATTTAAAATATCTATGATATTTTATCTTAAAAACTTAGTACTTATAAATCATTAAATTATTTACTGACATGGTGTGGCAATATTCGGAAACTAACGTCAAATATTCAATCTCCAATCGTCCTGCCACGTCAATCAAAACCATATTGAATTGTCTGCTGAATGACCATCGAATGACAATATACATTTTATGCGCCCGTTTTACACTCTCATCTAGTGGAGAGCACTTTCAATTGAAGTCAATTGTCCATTCCACTGTGCGATTTGCGCTTTGATTGGCGTTTTAGCCATTTTGGCCGCTTCTCTCGTCCTCTCACTTTAACTGCCATTTTGTGCCAAATTTTTTACAACTTTCTCTAACTCCCAAACTGTCGCCCCTCTGCCCCTTTTTTAGCGGGAGCCTGCGCCGAGGACGAGTACGATTGCGAGGACGCGACCTGCATATCAAAGGATTTGAAATGTAATAACCTAGACAATTGTAAATTTCGATGGGACGAGGAGGACTGCAAGGTAAGTGACACGCCTCTACAGAGAGAAACCTAAAATCTGATCCGACTGAAAGCAATAAAATATTAATTCCCAAATTAAATAGGCAATACTTAAATATTTTAAAACTATGAGTTAAATTCGTTTGTACTTATTTAAAAAATATTTATATTTTGAATTAAGCTAAATATAATAAATTTAATAAAAAAAATTCCATATAATATTTGTATTACATGTAAGGAACGCTATAGTCGAAAAATCCGACTATCAAATACCCGTTACTCAGCTGAAAAGGTGCGAGAGAGACGGAGATATACATGCGACTGCTTGAATTCCCTTACTTGCTCATAACTTTTTAATAAATGGTCCGATATAAACAATTTATTCTACATTTCGATAGGTTTTAGTGACCGAAATAAAATTTGCATTTCCACTTTTCCGAAATCTTTAAATATGTGGGCGCCAGACACATTTTAAGGTCGTTTAGTGCGATTGTGGGCGTGGCGCTCGGCTGAAACAAACTTGCGATGCGTAGGAAGCTCAAGAGCATGTGTGGCTAATCCCAACATTCTTGCTTTTGTAGTTTCCGAGATCTTATCCTTTTACTCTACAAGTAACGGGCATAGATATGAAAACGAAGAGATAATTAAGAATCTGGCACATACGGTATATTTTCTCTCAGTGCATCCGCACTCAAAAACACAAAACTGGGCCGTTTGTACGTGCATCTAATTATAGGCCAGCTCGTTCGCCCCGACTACACCCCATCCCCTGGCCTCGTGACCCCTTACCCCCTGCCAAAACCCCTTCGAACCCCCTGCCAAAACCCCTACCAAACCCCCTGCCAGCTCCATCACCCGGCTCATTATAAGTATGCTCGACACGCCGATGATGGCAACACCCAAAAACACTCACGTACACACGCTAGCGAAAACACACACACTCCTGCTCCGGCACAAACACAAACAAAGTTGGTCAAATAAGTTTTGTTTGGCAAAGTTTGAGGTTTGTGTTACAGGAAGGCCTTGTGTTTGTTGTATTTGTAGTTGTTGTTCCTGTTCTTTGCGGGGCTTGTTCGTTAGCCGTAAATAACAGTTATTTGCAGGGCATCCCCCAGAATCCCCCTTCAGCCCCCCAGAAGTTGAACACCAGCATCAGCGCATTAGATCATTAGATTTGATAAAGTCAGCGGGAACTTGAGCTCGCACCACCGACAAGCGACTTTATCACAGGGAATGATTCATGCAGCGCCATCTAAGCCACTTTCCCATTTTTTCACTTTCACTCAACAAAAGTGCGGTTGTAAATCCCTTGTAAAAATAGCTAAACATAAAAAAACAGCTGGGGGGAAATCCGCACTTGTGGCATCCTCGAATTACATGCATTACAAATTGTTTAGTTCTAATGACCTTAGCTAATGGAAGGGTTTTAAAATATTCAAAAGCTTTTATAAGCACATAATTTAATTTCAAGCTAAACAAAAAATCTAACAAAAATTGTCCTGCCCTTAAAATATTTGTATTGACTTTTAGACTCGGTTTTTTGCATATTAATTATTTTTTTCTGAACCATTTTTAATTTTTTTTATATTTAAAATTAAGATAGATATTATAATATTCAACAAAATTCAATTGAAATGTTTAAAATTCAATTTACTTACAAATTAACTTAAATTTACTTAATAATTCAAGCCCCACCGTTTCCAAAAGAGTATAAAGCATTTAAATGAAGCACACATAATTTTCAAAACCAGAAAACCAACCAAAAACACTCAATTTAAACCACGGCCCTTGAATAAACTTTTCCATTAACCATTGCAAAATACCGCTGGCCAAAAGCAAACACATTTATGGAAATTTTATTATTTAATTTCGTTTACAAAAGTCTACATTTAATTTTCGCACCACATTGGTCGATTGCATTTAGCATTTGGCCATACCATTCAATATCTTGCCCAATTAAAGCGAATTGATATTGGGTTTGGCCAAATGTTTCCATAATTATTCCTAATTTTATACATATACAGAGGGAGGCCATTTGCATTGACCAGGAATTTTTAGTTTAGTTTTTCGATACCCGATTGAACGGTTCCGGTTTATGGTTTCTAATTTGCTCAAACGATGTTAAATGAACGTGTGTAAAGGCGGGCTTCAATCAAATGCTCAATCGAGCGCATGCACAAGTTATGTTTATTTAATTGGCCGACATTAAAATCGGTCCAAAATATATGCTGTGTTCACTGGGCGCGTGTAATTTATGACGACATATTGGCCTTTGGAAGCCGGCTAATGATGGCCTAAAGACCTCATGAAATCCAAGAAAGATATAGAGAAAAATTAATAATAATCACCAAGAAAATAAAACAAATACAACATTTATTACAATTTTTGTTTAAATTAATTTTGTTTTTGTAATGTCCTTTTTTAAATATAATTCCTCTTTCATAATAAAATTTCTATGCAAAAAAATAATTTTAAATGGTTAATTTACCGCTTAAACTATTTTAATAAATATTTTAAATAATTTATAATCACCAATAACAAATTTTAAAATAATAAAAAAGAAAAAAAATTCTTGGCCTTTTTGTTTGTTCCTCTTCCTTAACAAAATTTCTATGCAAAACTTTAAATAAACGCTTAAAACTATTTTAATAAATATATCGTATAATTCATAGTCACTAAGAAAATAATTAAATTGATAGGTCTATTAAAAATTAGAAAATGTTTTATCTTAATATCTTTTTTTTCCTAATAAAATTGCTATGCAAATAAAAAATTTGTAAAATATTTCAAATTGAAAGAATGAAAGCCGAATAAAATCACAGCTTCGTTTCTGTTTGTGGGCTAATTTACTTGCTGCAACGGCCAATGGTCATTAGTTGTCTAGCAATCGATGACGCACACGAACACTCAATTAAGTGGCGTAAGGAAAGCCGCACTTTGATTATTTTGATTCGAGCCTTGGCTTGGTAATTCGATAATGCAATTAAAATGGCAATTAATGTCTTTTTTGCAGGGCGACGCAAACGGCCAATCGGAGCATGTGGTCATCATCGTGACCGTGTTTGGCCTGATACTCGGCGGCATGGTCCTAACGTTCATCGTCAATTGCACACGCAAGATAATACGTGATCAGAAGATAATACGCGTAAGTATTGCCAACTTTTACGCCCCCATTCGTCTCCCCATGAAACTTTAGTCTGTGCTCGCGCGTGTCCCCCCATAAAATACTGAAACCACCCCCAGAAACCAAAAACCCCAGCCACCCAAAACCACCCAACACCCCGCCTGCCGCTCTCTCTCTCTCTTTCTACATATGAATATATATATATATATATCTCTCTGTCTCGCTCGTTGTGTGCTTGAACCACCCAGCATTTACCACTTAACCCCCCTAGAATAGTCTCCTAAATGTGGCCACCGCAGGACAGCAAGAATTTATTTCCACACACATATATCCACTCTTTTTGTTTTTGGTTCCATTAGATATGTTGCCAAAAAGTATTCAACTGCATTTCAAATGCACGCTAACACAGGAATTGCAACACAATTTGGAACAACCGGGCTCGAAATAATAGGCAGTAGTATTTGCATGTTTTTGGATAAAAGCAAACGAAAATTAAATTTTAATGTGGGTTCATTTTAGAGCTTGAAAAAAGATCGACAGTTGGGTATTTCTCGATGTTTAATAAGTGTTTTCCCTGAAAAACATCGAAATTATCGAATACATATTGTGAAAATATAGAACATATCGATAATTTTCAAACTCTACTTCATTTGCCACAGATTCGAAGAGATTTGTTTATATTATATTATTATTTTGTGTAAGTTAAACTTTAGGTAATTGCGGAAATTGCCGTTCTATTGTTTTGATCACAGCTGTGACCATAAATAAATGTGAAAATCAAATCTGCCTGTGACGCTTTGACGTTGCATTTTTTCGGGTCAGCGAAAAATTGTTGGAATCAACAATCATTTGCACTCCTTTAAAGAACCCATTCACAAAAGTGGGCTATAGAGCGATTGTTAATGATTTACCGGAACAGAACGGAGCAGTGTAAATTCGAGGGGCTTACACTCGACTTAACATGCGATGACCAGGCATGTGTATAATTATATATGGATATATGGTTATATGGAGAGTGCCTGCGTATATGACAAACTCGTTTTGCATATGTAAACATAATTTGCATTGACTGCGCTGACTGTTTGACAACTGAATCTGATTTGGCTTTGGCAGGCGAATGCGAATGGAAATGGCAGTGGTATTCGGGATTCAGGATTCGGGTTTCAGGAATGGGATGGTACCTCGAGCAGAAATCACCCGACATAATGACTCTGCAAGGGGCCTCGCGCTCCACGAATGACAATTGGCATAACTGACAATTAGGCGATGGATTAAACTAAGCCGCGTTTAGATTGCATTTTGGCCTTAATTAAAGGTGCGATCTGAATGGTGGGGCCAATGAAACAGCGAAACATCCACTTGACTCTGGAACTGAATTGAACTCAAAAGGTCAATGGGTCGTAAAAATAAATTAAATAAATTTAATAATAATCAAAATCAAGAGGATCGTCAGGTAGATATTAGACTATGGTTTGCCTAAGCCAATTAGAATAAATAGACCATTACAAAATAAGTAATACCTCAACGAAAAATTTTAAAATAATATTCATATAAAACATATTAACAGATAAACAATAAATTAAATTAATTTTAATTTTATAAATTTGGAAAGATTTAACAAATATTATTATTAAAATTAGTAATTTCATATCAACGAATAGTTAATAAATTAAATTAATTATGATTTAATACATTTAGAAACAGCTTGTGGTTCAGTTTAAAAAAGCTCATAAGCTTTGGATAGAATGTAAAAAGATATTTGTTTTTTTGTTCACCAAACCAATCTTAACATTTTCGACAAATCATGGCATGTTCGAATTTAGATTATTATCTAACGAATTTCCTAAAACCAGGCCAATGCATTACCACAGCAAATCATCGACGAAGTGACGCATGTCACTCAGCCTTCAACTGCCATTAATTATTAATGGTAATTGTTCTCGAGCTGCAGTCCCCCATCAAATCATATCTATCTGGGGCACTCAAACGGTTCGATTTGAATTTCGATTTTAATTAGCGAAAGTCAAAATGCGGCAACTTAAATCGATGGCCGCGCAAATGTGGCGAGTGCATTAAAGCCGACTTCGTTCAAAAGGAGGGCTTCGAACGACATTAGTAAAACAATAATACGCAGCGTGATAGGAATCTTGTCGCCTTGTCTCGATGCGGAAATGTGCGCGCGGGCGAGCACTTTTCTCACGCACTGTCGTCTGCTGCCTGGAATTTAATAGACATGCAGCGTCCCCTTACCCGGCGGCAAATTGAACGAACGGATCCCGGCAATTCTAATGTCGTCTGACACTTTGAAATGTAAAATAGACTTTGACTCTGAGCCTTGAGCCCCGAGCCGGAGCTCCACACCCAAACCAATCCAATCCGATTTGATTCGATGTAACCCTAGACGAGGATCCCACACAAACTGGAGGTGACTAATCAATACAAATGAAATTTGTCAGCTGAATGAACAAAGTACAGTGTTACTCGAGCCGTTTCGCTTCGCCTTTTCATTTATCTTGTTATTTTTCTAAACTTGGAGAAAAGCTCGATGGAAAAACCAGCAAATAGAAACTCACTTTACGAAAGATACTCTAGAAATTAGTTTTTTTAGGATTAGGATTTTATTAGATTATTTGTTTTAATATTGCAATAGTAAACTACTGTATCAAAATAAAATATAGAAATTATACTAAATTAACATAGTAAATTCTATCAAATACTAGAACATTTATAAAATACTACAAAATTCGAGAAAATACTAGAAAATGCCTAAAATGCATTAACTCCATTTGAAATATTGACATTGACATTCTCGAAATAATAATTAAGATAATTGAAGTCCAAGAATTGCAAGACATTATTTTATTAATAACTAAATACGTTGAATATTATTTCCTGTTTTAATGTTGAACCACATTCTATAAAATAATTATAATACCTATTTGTTTTTAGAATGCACATGTATCATGTTGCATCCTATTTTTTCCGAGTGTACGGGAACCCCCAAAAATACCAAACACACACAAAACCGAGTGCGCGAGTGGAGGGTCTGTTTAATCAAGCAGCAGACCGCGTCTATAAATATGTGGCCGCCGCACAAAAACACACAGAAACACACGGACTGACACGCAAACACACTTAATTAACTCGCTGGCGAGGGCGTCTGGGTCTCCAAACATTTCTTCTTGGCCGCTCCACTTGCCAGCAGTCGATTCCTCGATGATATTCAATTTGGCCAGTGCCTCTTTCTCCTCCTCCAAACCGAAGTCAATGTCAAATTGAAGCTCCATTGCGGCCATGACCCCCGGGGGAGATGGAGATAGAAAATAGCAGCAGAAATGAAGCGAACTGAAATGAAATGACTTTTGCCAGGACAACCGTGGACCCCTGACAACCGATGAGAGCTAGCTAGCTGCCTTCCGATATTCCCATATTCCAATATTCCGATATTGATACCGACAGCCCGGGAACTGGGAAACTTTATGCCTCGCAAACTCGGCCAGCCAATGAATAATTTAATTATCAAAAAAAAGAGGAAAAACAAATACCTCAGCTGCGATATGGTTTTGCGTAATTTAATTAGGACAGTCCAGGAATCAGGCATCAGGAGTCGGGCATTGAGCTTCCACTAGGTTAACTTTGGGGGGCCGAGTGAAAGCCCTCAACTCCTGAAACTCCCGCCGTTAATAGTCATAATTACTAGTGCGCGAATGTTTCACGGGTCAGTGTGAAAAAACAAACTTGATTTTTGCAAATTAAATTTAAATGCAGAAGGTGTGGATTATTCAATTAATTCAATTACCACCGGCTTTCACCACGTCCACGACAATTAAATGGAACGTTTTTAAACGGTTTTGCGTCATCATTGATCACTACACTGTGCTGCTTCACTGATTTATGGAATTTAAAGTTTAATAGCTTGCTTTGTTTCCGGGAAAAAATGAACGCATTTATTGCAATCCAAAACCAAAGCAGATCTATCTTTTTCGGGAGATCTTTCATTTGGGAATTTGATTGGAAAAATACTCCCTGGACTCAAACGATTTTCGAAAATATATTCGTTAGGGTGGGTCGATTTGGGACCCCAAAAATCGTATAGGGGGAACGTAATCTTTAAAGGATTCTAAGCCATATTGGCGAACATACTTATGGTCTAAAATGATGTTTGACCCCCCCCCAAACGCGAATGAAAAATACTGTTTTTTTGAGAAAAATATCATAGTAGTCAGCACATTTATAGTACTGAATATCAATTTCAAATTTTTATTTTAAATTTAATAATACATCTGAGCTGACTACTATGATATTTTCCTCAAAAAAAGCTGTATTTTTCATTCGCGTTTGGGGGGGGTCAAACATCATTTTAGACCATAAGTATGTTCGACAATATGGCTTAGAATCCTTTAAAGATTACGTTCCCCCTATACGATTCATCACTTTTTTCGGCCCCATACAAATCGACCCGCCCTAATATTCGTATTAGGCATCATTTGAATCTATCTTATTTTTACCAAACACCCAAGTTCCTGATTTTATAAAAAAAAAACAATATTTTGGCGAAACAATTAAAATAATATTAATAATAAAAACAGTTAGTATTTTTGATGTGGGAAAACAAAAGAAAAACTACTTAAAAACCAATTTTGATCAAAAATTAAGTTCTGTTGCACTTTTTGCTCTGCGCTGCCGAATTTATAACGGTGCGTATGCGTAATATGCCCACACCCTCTAAGTCGAAACGAGCTCTTTGGGCTTAGCTTGTTAGTTGTTGATTGTGGGGTTGGTTTTTGGTTTTGGGCTTTGGGCTTTTTGGCGGGCATAGATGCCCGTTGGTGCCAGGAAGACAAAGCAGTCATGTCCCGGCTAAATTGTAAAACAGCGTCGTGCGCTGACTTTGCACAATGCCCCCGGACCCCAGCTGATACCACATGCCATCCTGCCATCCTGCCATCCTGGCGTCCTGGCATTCCCATCCCAATCCCCCTACCCCATTCTGGGCAAATGGAACTACGAAACGGGAAAAC